AGTGAAGGGAGGAGGTTGGTCCACAACTTATCAAAGAACAACGAGTAAATATAAAACTGGTGCAATAGAATTTCAGCCCTGAGGCGATTCCCTGATGCTAAGTTCGGTTTTCTCGCCTAGATGCAAGACTCCTACTGGCATCGGAATGCACACTTCAGGACTGAAAACCTCGCAGAGCCTCCTCGATAGTTCGACAGGTTTCAACTGGATATGCTGGGGATAAGCGAAGTAAGTTGGCTAAAAAGTGGCTGCATAACGAGTGATGAATCATAGTTCTTGCTTTTTTTGTTTTCGCCATACAGTAGTGCAGAAAAAAGGAGTGGAGTCGTGTTAGAGCAACCAACTCCTCAGTCGGGAAACTATTAGGCGAGCGAGATCGTGTTTTATGAGCGGGCATACTCGCATTAAAGTCATTCCAGTCTAAGCACCTACAGGGGATGTGAGCGGCAAATCGAACAGCCACTTGCACGAGCAGTTTCAATACACAATCGCTTAATTACCTCTCTCAAGATGATGGTAGGCGATTCCAACGCGTAATTGGGCAGTGATCAACAAAGGTCGACAAGGACCTCTTCTTGTGAGGGGAAACTTGCTACTGTCACAGGGAGGGTATTTCGTACGACACTGTTGCGACGAATGCGCGGAGCCATCAATGAGTAAGTGGGGGAAGTGTAAAGCGGATTCAGGAGTGAAAGATCGTGTTGCGAAAAAAATTTCGTCTGTACGCAACATAACCCTACCGTGCATGGGAAATCGTCATCTCCCTTCACCAGCTTTGCGGACTACAAAGTGCATTCGACAATTTATAGTTTTGAAGGAAAGTCCTGTCAGAGTTTTTTGAAAAGCTCCCAGTTTTCGATCCTCGATGCTCGTACATGACGTAACATGCTATGCTTGTAGAACATTCTAAGAGCTCCCCTGCAAGAGGTGTGTGAGGGCGCCTGCGCTTTCCTGGGTTTAGTTACGATGTCAGTTTCACAGGAGTATCTTCGGTATATCATCTTCTACCAGTGGCCCCGCAGCACTGGAGCCACGGCAGCTGTACGTAACATCACCAGTGTATTGGGGGAGGACACTACTACCGTCAGGACTGTTCACTTTTGGTTCGCTCGCTTTGCGAAAAGAGGCTCGATCCTTGAACCTCGGTCGGGACGCCTCAACGAAGTGAAAGGTTTCACCGTTCTCGAAGCTGTCAAGCAGGGTCCGGAGGCTACCACCCGCAGTCTTGCGACAAGACTCGCTTGTACCTAAATGACAGTCGTCAACCGCCGCCCTTGACTACCGAAAAGTATTGACTTGATGGATCACTCATACCTTGACCGATGGCACGCAGTGCCAGGGTACCGCTTACTTCTCTGCCCTCGTCAGAAGAGGTTTCCAGGAGACTGCTCAGTGGGGATAGAGATGGATCCTTTGTGATTTCAACCCACACAGTACCGTTTGTCTCTCTCAAGGAGAAGATCCATTCTAGCACTAAAAACCGGGCATGTATTCCGAGAAGCTTCTCCTGTGCTGCTCCTGGGAAGCGGGCGTGATACTGCAGAACACGCTGCCCTCTGAGAACAGACGATTATGGCTACCATTTATGTCGCTCAGCTCCTGAAATCGGTGGAAATTTTTGGTGAAACATGACCGATATTAGCTTCGGGTCACCTCGTTCGTAGTCACGAGCCCCCATACCTGCCATGAAGACTTACCAAATGATTGGGGAGGAAGGGTGTGAGACCAGTTCCCGCTCATGATATTCTCTCGACGTAGTCCCCTACGACTGCTGCTCCGCCTCCTTAAGGCTTTCTTAGCTAAGAAAATTTCAAGCAACTTTGATGACATCAGTCGAGAGGACGCTGATTTACTCTACTTGCAGCCTTCTCAGTTCTGGGAGGAGGGAAATGCTTACCTGTCCATTGGTGGAGCACTAGTGGCTAACTATGACGAGTATATTGTTGACTAATCCTCACTGTATGTTGAGTTGGAAAATAAAAAAGAAAAAAGTCACAACAGTGACAGGACTTTCCTTCCAACCATACATTTGGCACATTGGCCACTTGAATTACAGGGCGTACCCTCACCTCTGATCAGCACCTCGAAGTTATTATATCTCAGCTCTCCATGCTGCATTAGAATGAGTGTATGCTGTGCATCGTTTTCGAAATTGCCACTTGGATACGACAAGGATGCACTTTATCTCCGCACTTGTAGTCCATTGTGCAGGGACTGCTATTTCAACCATATTTGACCCTATTCGATGCCATCTCATGCCCCGCTCACTGTGATCAAGCCCACTTTTTTGCGCGATCGTGATTCCCAAAATGTGTACCATAACTTCCGTTTCTGAGAATTTTCTTGGCATTTTCTGATTTTCACACATTACAATGATTCATTGATGGCCACATCGACCCATAGCCATAAGCCCACTTTTTAACAGGTTTGTTTTATATTCAATTTTTATACCTTATCTCAACGTTGACGCCTTCAAACACACTCTTCACATATTGCTCACAGACAAGCAATTGCACAAAGATGCATAAGGATCCGCACACTTAGCTCCCCCACTTTAGGTCGATTTTCGCGATTTCTAGCAATATTTTTTTAATCACTATTTATCCATATTTTCTTCCCATTATCCATATTTTATTACTTGTTCACCATCTCAAGATCACCAAACGGTTCCGCCCACTATGAGAGGCCCCTGCCACTTCACACAAGCTCCACCTACACCTGCGAAAATGCCTTGATCTGGAAGTACAGAGTCTCAGTCTCGCTCGTAGACCAGAATAAGCCAGACTGCTTCACTGGGGAGAAACTGCATGCTGTGGATCAATAACTACCAAGAACAACCATATAGGAACTCCTTGCTGATGCCGTTCATGTGGGATGTCAAATCAACTGGGTGTAGAGGTTTCTATCAAATTCCTTCCAAAGTTGACGCCACCTGGCGCCAGCGGGCGCCAAAGTGGCGCCTGCTGGCGCCAGGTGGCGTCAACTTTGGAAGGAAAAGATGCATTCATGACAAGGATGTCAAATAACCTAAGGTGTAGAGGTATCCATTGGAATCGGTGTCAGAAGGGTCGCTGGCGCCAAAGTGGCGCCCGCTGGCGCCAAGTGGCGCCGAATCCGGAAGGTAACAATATATTCGTGACAAGGATGTCAAATAACCTAGGTGCAGAGGTATCCATTGGAATCGGTGTCAGAAGGATCGCTGGCGCCAAAGTGGCGCCCGCTGGCGCCAAGTGGCGAAGACTCCGGAAGGTAACAATATATTCGTGACAAGGATGTCAAATAACCTAGGTGCAGAGGTATCCATTGGAATCGGTGTCAGAAGGATCGCTGGCGCCAAAGTGGCGCCCGCTGGCGCCAAGTGGCGCCGACTCCGGAAGGTAACAATATATTCGTGACAAGGATGTCAAATAACCTAGGCGTAGAGGTTTCTATCAAATTTTATGTCAAAAAG